AAGATAATTATTTTTCATGTTGCCCTTTATGCCCTTTCTTTACAAGGTAGGGGAAGTTGCATTGTTATATATGGTTATGAGTTAAATGGTTCAAAATCAACATCTGGGATAGAAAGAGATTACTCTGCAGAGCTCAGACAGAAAGACTGAGACCAAGTAGTTGCTATAGTGATCTGGGTCTGGTCCTAGGCTAAAATTGGTGAGGGAAGTCTTATACTTGTATAGTCTTATTGTATCTACCAATACAGTTAACACTTTTTTTATACTCTTTCTCAGAAAGGGGAATTATTCATTCTTCCCTTGAATGTGGGCTGGGGTTAGTGACTCTCTTCTAGCAAATAGAATATAGAAAAGAAAAATACTAATTTCTCATAGGAAAAAAACTTGGTAGATATCATCTTATCTTAGTCAAGAGTTCAAGTTAACATCAGCAGTCATGAATCATATTTACCCTGTAGAATGGTGCAGTGTCCTGTCCCACTGTCTCCCCGCCCCAGTCAACCCAAGCTCTGTTTAATAGTGAGAAGAATCAAGTAAATCCAAGTTGAGGAACATTCTATAATATAACCAGACCAGTATGGAAGAAAATGTTTAAGAAAATGAAAAGTAAGGGAATCAAAGAAAGTTTTATAAACTAGAAGAGACTAGAGAAAGAATTCAATTAATGCAGAGTCATACCTTGAATTGAATATTGAACAAAAGGACATTAGGAGGAAAACAAGTGACATTTGAATATAGTCTGTATGTAGCTGGGCAAATAGTTTTGTGCCAGTGTAAATGACTTACAAGGTAAATGTACCATGGTTATGTTGGATGATAATTTTAGAGAATAGTTTTTGAAATATATTTGGGAATTCTGAGCTATCTTTACAACTCATCTACAAACTTTACATTATTTCAACAGGAACTCATTTAAAATCCACTGAGAACCAGATACTAGTAGCTCATACCTATAATCTTAGCTACTTAGATAAGCACTAAAATCTGAGGCTACAAGTTTGAAGCCAGCCTGGGCAAGAAAGTCAATGAGACTTTCCTCCAATTAACTATGAAAAAGCTGGAAGTGGAGCTTGGCTCAGGTAGTAGACTTCAGTGTAGAAAAAGGCAAGGGAGCCAGGTGCTGGTGGCTTACGCCGGTAATCCTAGCTATTCAGGAGGCTGAGATCTGAGGATCGCGGTTCAAAACCAGCCTGGGCAAGAACGTCTGTGAGTCTCTTATCTCCAATAAACCACTAGAAAACCGGAAGTGGTGCTGTAGCTCAAGCGATAGCGCACTCGTCTTGAGCTGAAGAGCTGAGGGACAGTGCCCAAGCCCAGAGTTCAAGCCCCATGACCGACAAAAAAAAAAAAAAAAAGGGCAAGGGACAGTGCTCAGGCCTTGAGTTCAAGTTGCAGTACTGGTGCATGCATGTGTGCGTGCACACATACAAAACCCATAATGAGGAAGTTTTTGACTGTCAAGGATTAAAATGGTAACATCTGCATCAGGAAGAGGTTATTATTTTTTATACTGTAACAAAGAAATAACTATTTTGCACATCATAGCAATGTTATTAATAATTTTTCAAGAAATGAAACTTGGATGCTTGAGAGAATATTGTAATAAAGAACAATGAGAGAAATCTGAAAAGCCTGATACTTACATAAATGACATAGCTGGCCAAGGCAAAGCCAAGTTGTCTATTAGAGATTATAATGGAATATTCGTATATATTCAATAGCATATGGTGCTAAATACTTTCTTAAAAATATACAAACACTGCTGAGGAAGAGACTGAATAATCAGAGATAAACAATGATGCCAACAGCAATTTCTAGTTTCTAGGATTTTGTTCAAGAAAACATTAAAATCATCTCCCATTAGCCAAAACTAAATACATTATGCATACAGAATTAAATATTGCAAATTGGACTTGACCTAAAATAAAGAGTAAATATCGGCTTTTAAAATAGCTTAAATTAACTACCTGGAAGATGGTTTGAATTAGATATATTACTATTAATAATTCAGTAATAATAGTTGACTCTTATTTCATATGTTTATATACCAGGTATGAATGCATGTATTTTACAAGTATTTTGCTGTTACTACTACCTTCAAGGTTGGCTGCATAGGTAGTGCCATGCAATGATTAAGAGGTAGGCAACTAGTCATTGCAAACAAGGGAAACCATGGGACCTATGTTTCTTTGGTCCTGGCTTACTTCACTTAACATAATTTTTTCCAAGTTTTTCCATTTCCTAACAAATGAGGCAGTGTCATTCTTTCTGATGGAGGCATAGAATTCCATTGTATAGATACATATACCACATTTTCTTGATTCTGAGGGGCATCTGGGTTGGTTCCATATCTTAGCTATGGTGAATAATGCTGTGATAAACATGGTAGCTTTGGTATGACATCATTTGTGATCATTTGGGTAAATGCCCAAAAGTGGGATTGCTGAGTCATAGGGCAGCTCTATGTGGAATCTTTTGGGGATCCTCCATACTACTTTCCAAAGTGCTTGAACAAGTTTAAGTTTACACTCCCACCAACAATGCAGTAAGGTTCCCTTCTGTCCACATCCCCTCCAGCATCTGTTGTTAATACAATTCTTGATTATAGCCGTTCTAACTGGTGTGAAGTGAAATCTTAATGTTGTCTTGATTTGCATTTCTTTTATGACTAGAGAAGTTGAGCATTTCTTCATGTGTCTATTGGCCATTCTTATTTCCTCTTCAGAGAAGTCTCTCTTTAAGTCTTTAGCCCACTTATTAATCGGGCAGTTGTTTCTTTGAGGATTTGTTGTTGGGGGATTTAATTTTTTTTAGTTCTAAGTATATTTTAGATGAGACCCTTGTCCATTGTATTGCTAGTGAAGATCTTCTCCCAATCCATGGGCTTTCTATTGATCTTGCTAGCTATGTCCTTTGCCATGCAGAAGCTCTGCAGTTTCATGTAATCCCATTTGTCCAACCTTTATTTGATTTGTTGTGTTTCTAGGCCAAAGGCTATGTACATATGACCATAAAAGATGATGTTAAGGGAAATGTACCCCAAGACAGAGACACAAGTGGTTTTTTTCTTTCTTGCTATTGTTTTTAATATACTTATAATGCACTGTGTGATTATTTTGTTTCTTTTGTAAGTTCTTCCCCCATGGTATAACTCCTGTTTTCACTGTATTTGATTCTGGTGTTCTGCATCTTGTATATACATTTCTGTAATTTGGGGAGAGGAAGGGATATTGTGGAAAGCTTAAATGAAGATGCAGGTTGGCCTATTGTGACGATAAGATGTTCAGGACACTATGCTGAAAACAACCTTTACATATTGGAGAGGGGTGTGGGAAGGGAGGAGTTGGGGAGGTGGGGAGGGAAAGGTTGGTAGGGGAAAAACAAAGGGAGGTGGTAACAATGCTCAATAGGAAATGTACTCATTACCGTACTCATGTAACTGTAAACTCCTCTGTACAGTATTTTTACAATAAAAATTTATATAACACAGACACACAGAGGAAGGCAGCTGAACGCTTCTGTTCCTATTTACCCCCTGTGTCCAATATGCTCTTTGATAAAACAAGCCTAATACCATATGCATTTAGCATGCATAATGTCTTTATTTAGTATGTGTCAGAAGAAGAATGGCTGGACATATTAAACACTATCAAAGTGTTATAATATTATGCTTATCCAATTATTTATTTTGAAGATACTTGTCTGGCTTCCTACTTAATTGCTATTTTACTAGTGAGGAGTAAGAGTCATTACCGAGGGAGCTAATTTTATAGGTAAGGGGTCCATATTTATTTTTTATGTGCATGTATTGGCAGTTCCAGCAAAGTGCCTGACAGACAGTGAATAGATTTAGGAGATAACGCATTGAATGTGTAACTTAGTGAAAATTGATGTGATTTGGTATACTTATATGAAATCAGGTTTGAATGTATTTTGCTTTCCTATAGTACTTGTTGGAAAAGGTCTGGGCAGACAGTTTGGCTTTTCTCAACTAGTTTGGTATTTACATATCTGTCTGTCTGCCCAGACAGATCTATCTATCTATCTATCTATCTATCTATCTATCTATCTATCTATCTATCTATCTATCTATCTATCTTGCTAAGTCTAAGGGTTAAAATTCTCAAAAATTATTAAACAAATGGAATACCTTATAGATAATATGAACATTTACATCTAATATTATTTTCTTTCTTAATATTAATTTTAACATATAAATAAGCCCAGAGAAATATGATTCACTGTTGAAAAGTTGTATTGTCTTAAAAAGTTCCTTTCCTTTGTATTACAAAGACGAATCTGTAGAAAGAAGAATTTCTTTTCTCCAGATGAAGTGTAGTGGGAATAGCTAGTTAGGTTATGTGGTTAAATGTCACCTATACAATGATAAGACTATATGCATATGTCTTTGTTGTGGACAGTATATTTACAGAATTTGCAAACCTCATTGGATGTTAAATTTAAGGAGTTGCACAGATTGTACAGTTCTTTTTTTTTTTTTAAATTTTATTTTATTTTATTTGAGAACATACTGTACAGAGGGGTTACAATTACATGGGCAGGATAATGCATACATTTCTTACCAAGCATTGCAGCCTCCTCCTTTGTTTACCCTTCACCTCCTTTCCCAGCCTCTCCCCTCCCCCCCTGTACAGTTCTTAATAAAGAATAAATATTGGCTTAAATACAGTTCTTCAATACTATTATTTCAGTATGTGCAGTAAACTTGGTTTATTTCCAAGACAACTGTTACCTAAAGATGAGGAAAAAATGACACTAAGTGGAATATGGTTAGGAAGCAAAAGGCATTGTGTTGTTCATATTTGAACCCACTGGAGTGTTCTATGTGCTTCAGAGAATGAGCAAGTTGTAATTTATTTGTAGCTTTTGCTACTCCTTAATGGTATTCTTCTCAGACCTTTTTTCTTATAAGCCTTCATAGCAACTTTAGTTCTATAATTCTTCTGGGATAATACATCTTTCTATATCTTCCATCCTAGGCATTGAAGAAACAAGAAGCTAAAGCAGAGGAAACTGAGGGAATAATGAAAAATAAGCTACAGCAAACTGAAACTGAGAAGAGTCAAGTAAGACCCTGTCTTTCAAGAAATTATGTAGTTCAGGCCCAGTGATGGTTGCTGGGTACCTTGAAAAGTGTCCCTCAGATCATTTATTAGAACTTAGTGAAATCTTTATATGCTTCCGTGTGGAGCTGCTTGATGGCTGCTTTGATGGCTCTGGTACCCTTTACTGCTTCCTCTTGGAACATACACAGATTGTTTGCTACCTTGTCATCCGAGGGCACTCTGTTTTGAGAGATGAATTAAACTTTGGCATTCCTTCTTGGAGAACATTTAAAGGACTTTGTTATAAGTTAGGAAAGACTTAACTGTTTGAAGATTGTATTTTGGGTTTATTCATTTTATTTGCAAAAGAGAAATATAGGTAGTCACCTTGTTCAGAAAACATCTTTCTTGTCACTATATATTAGGATCTTTATCATATATTTATGTCTGTGGACATGTAGAGTCCAGCATGTTAGCCTTAGAAGGCAGTTCATCAGCCAAACAACTCAGTTTGCAAATGAGTAGATCTAAATAGGAGCACAAGATACCAAATGACAGGGTAAAACTGCACTGCTGTTCTTTCCTGCATATCATTTTTTTCTACCTATTATTGCCAACGATAGCTTTTTGTCTTCTCCACATACAAACTTGAATAGTGTTTTTATACTGCCTTTACAGAAAGCAAGCTATGTTATGACCTCAAGTTTGTGTTCTGGAGTTGAGACTGGTAATATTACATTATAATTATGACCAGTATAGGCCTCTAAGCTGTTTTGATAAAGTGTGATTTCTTCCGCCTTTATTTCTACATAGAACTAAAGAATAGATTGGACAATATTTTGCGTGAATTTGATGATAGTACATATTGTTATTATTATTATTATTACTTGTTTGAGGGGTAACACTGAAGTTTGATCTCGGTGTCTTACTAGACAGGTATTCTATTCCTCTGGCCCTTTGTTGCACTCATTGTTTTTGAGATAGGATTTTGCTTTTTGCCCAGGCTTACCCCAGTCAGTGATCCCACTATTTTACGTTTCCTGCTAGGATGACAGGCAGGAGGAGTTCCTGAGCCCAGCTATGGGCTGTAAAGAGTTCTTTTGAACTTTTCTGCCTGGGCCTGGAATGTAATCTTTGTCATCTCAACCTTTTGTAGTTTGGTCTAAGGCATGCACAACTGAACCCAGTTTTTGGTTGATAAAGGGTCTCATGTATGTTCCCAGGCTGTCTTTAACTATGAGTCTCCCAATTTCAGTTATATAAGTGACCCCTAGGATTCCGAGTGTGAACCAATAGTGCTCAGCTTTTTATTCAAGATAGCATTTGTTTTATGATCCATAGTTATAATTTTAAATGGAAATAATATAACTGGATTAAAATCTATTTTGAGCCGGGTGCCGGTGGCTTACACCTGCAATCCTAGCTCCTCAGGAGGCTGAGATCTGAGGATCACGGTTCAAAGCCAGCCTGGACAGGAAAGTCCATGGGGCTCTTAGCTCCAATAAACCACTAGAAAACCAGAAGTGGCGCTGTGGCTCAAGTGGTAGAGCGCTCACCTTGAGCTGAAGAGCTGAGGGATAGCGCCCCAGCCCATGGTTCAAGCCCCATGATTGACCAAAAAAAATTTTATTTTGAAATAATTGTAGATTCATAGAATATTTCCAAACAAAACCAGCTTCCTTCAGTGGTAATATTTTGCATAATTTTCACTCAATATGAAAATTGGGAATTGGCATTGGTGTAATTCACAGGATTTTACAGATTTTACCACCCTCACCTTACATGCCATCAGTGTACCTGTATAGTTTAATCCTTTTTTAAAATCTCAGGTGTAGAATCCTGTTACCACTGATACACTTAGGGTGTAGGACCCTTCATCACCTCAAGGCACACATCCTCAACAGGCATATTTACCACAAAGGCAGATGTTTTCTTTTCTCTCTATTTTTTCTTTCTTTCCTTCTTTCCTTTTTTCCTTCTTTCCTTTTTTCCTTCCTTCCTTCCTTCCTTCCTTCCTTCCTTCCTTCCTTCCTTCCTTCCTTCCTTCCTTCCTTCCTTCCTTCCTTCCTTCCTTCCTTCCTTCCTTCCTTCCTTCCTTTCTTTGTGTTTTTACTAGAGCTTAAATTCAGGGTCTTTCTAATCTTTCTTGCTTAACACTGTTGCTCTATCACTTGTGCTATGCTTCTAGTCTTCATTTTGCTGGTTACTTGGAAATGGAGCCTCAAAAGGCATTTCTGCTCTGTTCATATCTCCATCCTCCAGAGCTCAGCCTCCTGATTAGCTAGGAGGACATGTGTTAGCTCTCAGCACCTGGCTCACAGAGACAGTTTCTAAGGATAATGTTTGATCAAATAAAATGATAATAGTTATTATGAATCTTGGTGCTTCAGAATATCTTAAAAAATACAAAAACGTTATGTTATAGAAAAACTTTATAGCTACAGAATACAAACCAAGATAGCATATAGAAATGCCTTTTTTTTTTTTTTTGCCAGTCCTAGGGTTTGAACTCAGGACCTGGGTATTGTCTCTGAGCCTCCATGTTCAAGGCTAGCACTCTAGACTGGCTTTGAACCATACTCTTCAGATCTTACCTTCCTGAATAGCTAGGATTATAGGTGTGGAGCCACTGGTGCACAGCCTAGAAGTGCTCAATTTTTCTTAGGCTTTGTTTTATCTTACTGTATTTTTCAGGTTGAAATACAGTAGACATATTTAGAATATACTAAATGACCACATTTTCCATGGATATTTATCTGATGTTGGTATTATTAATGAAAATTTCAGTTTTTTATTTGAATTTAGAAATTAAAAAGTTTTAGGAATATCATATAAATATTAAAGAATATGAGAAATAATCAATTACATGAATCAGTAGGTCCCTGAAGTTTTTATACTGATTTAATAAATTTGATGTTATCTATTACAGTTTAAAGAAAAATTTGCAATACAATTTAGATTAAATTTTAGACTTAGAATTGCAAAGCTTCTCATGAGACTGTCTTATATAAAATCCTATTTTAGAGTCGAATTTAGGCCCCAGGAGAAGAGAGTTAAATAAAGTCACCATGGAGATGGAAGTAACTAGATCCCAGATGGCTATGAGGCCTGATCTGGTTTACTTTATACTATGTAATCAACATTATTTTAATAGTTCTATTCATATATGCTTATAGGAAGATATTTATCTTTTCCTAGTAGCTGCAAAATTCTCCTAAAAATTTCTGCTGTTTTCTTTTTAAATTGGACTCCATTGGACATAATTGGTCCATTGGGGCACAAATTTAAGTTATTTTCTGCCCCATTGGACATATGCTTTTATCTTTTGTTGAAATTCTAGCTGGAACAGGAATTGGAGCTATCTCGCAGGCTATTGAATCAATCAGAAGGCAGCAGAGAAATACTTTTGCATCAGGTAAGTCTATGCAAGATATGACAATCTCTTTTTGCAGTAAATCATGATTCAAGCTCTTCTCTTAAAGTCTTTATGAAAGGAAAATCCAGCTCTAGAAATTTTTCCTAAGGAATGTATGTTAGCACACATAAGCAAAATATGAAGATTCAGAAAAGGCTAGTACAAAAAAAAAAAAAAAAACCCAGCCCAGTTCCTGCTGTGACAATGTTTCTTGCTGATTGCTGCTCTGCTTTCTACTTATCTCTCTTAGTGTGAACAGAGTAGAAGTAAGACTGGATGTGTGAGATAAAATTTTCCCAGGAGCTTAATTTTATTCAAGGAGGCTTTGGAGAATAAAGGAGAAAAGAAAATACATTAAACAGATCTTCACATGTTCAAGTTTATTTTGAATACACCATTGTCTTTTATTTGGGTTTCCAAGATGTTACTTGGACCTTTTTAAACAAAGATAAGGCTGAATTTTTAAGCATAACATTTTCAGTCCATTAGCCTATAATGGGAGCTGGGTGTTTCTGATATTAAAAGTTCAATAACTTTAAATAGCCATCTTACATACATTGGATAAGGGTGCATGATTTTCTAACTGCATTCTGCCTGTGCTTAATACAAAGCACAATTGTTTGTGCCATCTTCTGTTTTGAGATGTACATTACATAACTTACATAGATAATACGCTCTGTAGGCAAAGATGTCAGACTTCATCGGTGTTGAGAAGTTTTACATTTTGACAATTGGTGCTGAATATACACAACAGCACCTGCTTTCCAAAACCTTTAAAATGTTTATTGACTTCATTCTGCAGCCATTGGGCACACAGAATTAATGTTGGCAAAATTCAGGATTTCCTTTTTCAGTTGGTATTCAGTCCCATTTTAATTAAAACAAAAACGTTGATTTGTAATCTCTGGTTTCAGTGTTTGAAGCAAGAGGTTTCTTTATTCAGGTTGTCATTGTTACTTAGTAGATTCTTTTTGCCACTGCTAACGTTTATGGTCTTTGGGAGATGTACCTGTTATATGCTAGGCAATTTGCTAGTTTCTTTGTAGGAATATAGTGATGAATCAAATTAGTTCCTGCCTTCGGGATTTCAGTTTGCTCAATAAGACTATTTATTTGGGGCCTTATTTTGATATCATAATGTGCTCCATCATGATCATTTGCATCAATGGATCATGTTACATGAAAGCAAATCAATGAAAAATGGAAATCTAGCAGCACATAGTACACAACTGGTGATTTTGGTTGATAGTAATGGACTGGACTGACATCAAAATAGTACATTTCTAAAATTTCTTAGGTTGGAAATATAGGTAAGTAGTACAGTGGTTGCCTACCATCAACAAGTGGACACATTTTTTTTTCCCCACAATGGACACATAAAAGGAAAAGACATTCTTTGTGGAATGGACAAGTGAGCAAGGACATCCTGCTATGCTTGGTATACATAGCATGGAGATTAACTTGGTTTCAACTTGTGTTTACAGTAGCTTAGCAGAAGCAAACTTTTCTCTCCTAGGGAAATAATTTATAATAATTTTTAGGTTCAATTTAATTTCTGTTTTTGAAAATGGATAAAAGTTTGAATGCATTTAGGTAGAAGAACTACGTACACAGCTCACAAAAGCAGAAGGTGACCAGAAGGGTTTACAACATCAGATTTCCAAGCAGCGTTTAAGCCTTCAGGATGATCAAGATGACTGGAGGTTTAGAAGAGGTATTATTCTGCTTTATAAATATGGGTATTTTCCATTCCTAAAATTGGTTTCTTTAATGTTTACCTTGTTTGCATTAAATTCTGAGCTTTTCTATTTTTGAATTTGAGGTGTATTTTATGATTGATATATAAATTTGATTTGACAGTATTTTCTTCATTCCATTCTTTTCTGGATATTACTGGAAGCAGTAGTTTTGAATTGATAGCACATATTCAAGTTGCTGACATTTTAAATTAAAGGACTATTTTATTTACATATTTTGTCTATATTCTTGGACTGAAAAATCCTTGAAGCTCTTTTTTTTATTGGTTATGGGGCTTGAGCTCAAGGCCTGAGTGCTGTCCTTGAGCTCCTTTTGTTCGAGACTAGTACTCTACTATTTTGAGCTGTAGCTTTACTTTCAGTTTTCTGGTAGTTAATTAGAGATAAGAGTTTCTTGACCTTACCACAGTGGCTTGCTTTGAACCATGATCCTCAGATCTCAGCCTCCTGAGTAGCTGGGATTACAGAGCCACCAGCACCTGGCTCTCTCTTTTTTTTTTTGGGTCCGGTCGTGGGGCCTGAACTCTGGGCCTGAGTGCTGTCCCTGAGCTCTTCAGCTCAAGGCTAGCACTCTACCACTTGAGCCACAGTGCCACTTCTGGCTTTTTTCTTTTTGCTTATGTGGTGCTGAGGAATCGAACCCAGGACCTCTGGCATGCAAGGCAAGCACTCTACCACTGAGCCACCTTCCCAGGCCTCTCTTTTTTATCTATCTTTGTATTTTAATAACATTAGTGCCTTGTGCCTCATTGAAGCACAAATATTTCATGTTGTGTTAAATGCTAAATTAATTTAAATTATTCAGTGTTATACTTTCATTTAATACTTTATATAATTAGCAAGATTAGTAAACTAGTAGCTCTTGTCAATCAAATTTAGCAATATTATTTTTGTTTATATTGTAACAAAGCATTTTATTGTAAGCTTCAATAACTGCAGCTAGATATAGAAGCTATATACTTAATGAACAAAATGTATAGTATTTTCTTCAAGTAAATTGCACTGAAAATTAGCACTTAAAACTATAGTACCAAAATACTATATATATATATACATATATATATTAGTATGTATATATGTGTATATATATATATATACATATATATATATAGTCTCGCTATATAATATATATATAGAGACAATATATTAGGTATATATATGTATATATATATATATTTGAAAACTATGTGAGATAAATGTTTTTTTGCACATCTATCATAAGTGGATTATGCTATCAAGAATATTAAGACATTAAGGTTTAGTACCATTTGAAAGCTCTTTTTCTTGTGAATGTAAAATAGAACATATTCATTGAGCTTTACACTGTTTTCTCTTAAGGGATAGAGAGAGAAAAACAGGATCTGGAGAAGCAGATGTCAGATCTGAGAGCACACCTGAACTTCAATTCAATGGCATCTGAGTTGGAGGAGGTGAAGCGATGCATAGAGCGAAAAGACAAGGAGAAAGCAAATTTGGCAGCACAAATAGAGGTGACTTGGCTGTTTTAAAGCAATATTTAAAAGACTTAATTATATTTGGTAGAATTGCTCTAATGAAATATTAATGTAGAGATGTATTATTTTCTGGGTGTCAGTGGATCATGCCTCTAATTCTGACTACTCAGAAGGCTGGGATTTGAGTATCAAGATTCAAAGCCAGTCCAGGCAAGAAAGTCTGTGAGACTCTTTTCTCCTGTTAACCAGCAAATAGCTAAAAGTGGTAGAGTGCCAGCCTAGAGCGAAAAAGCCAGTTCCCAAGTTCAAGCCCAAGTACTGTCACCAAAGAAAAGAGAAAAACAACAAAAGGAAAAAAGATACATTTTTTTGTGAGTGAAGGTTTAGGGATACATATTGCATTTCTTTGTTAATGTCTAATTTACTATGTATAGACTGTCCTGTGGTTTAATGTTTCTTTCCTTTGGTGATCCCAAAACCCAGGATCTGGGTTAATGTTCTTCAGCATTTCATAGTGAAATATATGACATCTTTTAAACTTGAAACTATTTTTGTTCTAGTAGCAATTGAGTCCTTCCTGAAGACAGTAGAGATCTTCTCTGAGCTAACAATACGTTATCTCAGATTTTGGGAGTGAAACTGGCAGGTGCTGTGGTAGAAAGCAGATTTTCAGATCTCTAGTTGTTCTTCATGAACTCGAGTTGTATAGTGCTCATGAATATGTTGAAACCATGAATGAAGTGTAACTAGGCAGCTACCATTTCCTGCTTGCCTTTTATCTAGTGTAGATGAGGTAATTATCAGAATATATTAAAAATCAAAGGAGAGTACCTCATAAAAGGAAATGGCTTAATTCCAATTCCAATTATGCAAATTAGATCAAATATAGATGACACATTTGGAAATAGATATGTATCAGTTCTCCTCTGTATCTGCTTTTATTAGCGCAGTTGTGCTGTAATTGTAATAAGTTGCTGCATTTGAAGAATTTTTATAATTATAATGAAAGGTAGAAAATTGGTGTTGAAAGCACCTAACTTTTTGTAACCCGAAGGAAATATTTAATATTACTCCAGTCTGAATTTCTCTTTCATCTTTTTGACACATCAATGGAAAATGTATTTTAAATATGGTTTAAAATTCAGATTATAAAGATAATGAAATATTCACATACCTTTTATAAAGCCTTTAATATGTTTAATAAAATTTATCAGAAATAGTCTCAGAGCAATGGTAACTAAGGATTTTAGTTTGCTTCATTGTTGCTAGTTTGGTTCTGATAAAAGTGTTAAAAGATGATTATTTTGTTGAAGTTATTATTTAAAAAAATTCTAATATATGTTGAAGGCAGAAAGATTTCTTTGCTAGTTCTTCTTAACCACATGTTGCTACCTCCTCTCTTGTTCTCTCCTTTTTGTCTTTTTCATGGTTTCTCTTATTTACCACTTGTGATACAAAATGGAAAAAAAAATTCAAATACATGGGCATTTAGGAATGGTTTCTAGTAGCTTAATAGTGCTGTCATTCAAGGACCTGGCTTTCTGTGTCCTAACTTAATAGTCTTTAATAGCTCTTTTCACACAGGTTAGAGGAAAAGGTTCTGTTTTCTTAGATTGAATTGGATTGGTTGCATAGGGTTTGGTTTGCAGAGCAATTGAAGAGAGAATTTTTTTTCCTTTCCTACATATCTAGTATTATTGATTACTACAAGTACCATTCTATGGGATGGCAACATCACAAGGAATGAAAACCCAGTTGATTTCATGGTATTTAAAATCAGATTCAGGAAGTTCTCTGATATTATTTTACTTCTAAGGACAAATTCCTTACAAAGGAACGAGGAAATCCTCCACTCTTTTCACAGTGACTGTTGATATTACTAGTTTTATTTATTTATTTTTTGATTATGTCTTATTTCTTTATTATATCTTATTTTTATTGTAGAGGTGATGTTTAGAGGGGTTACAGTTATGTAAGTCAGGTAAAGAATACATCACATTTCTTTTTGAACACTGTCATCCCTCTTTCTCCATTTTTCTCTCCCATCCCACCCAAAAGTTGTAGAGTTCATTTTTCATATATTATCTAGTGAATACCACTGCTGCATTTGTCGCCCTTTGTTCCACCATTTCTTTGTACCCACTAACCCTTCCAAAGGCAAATAAACTAACAAAACAAAAGTAAGGGACAACAAAAACAGCAACAACAATATCTCTTGTTCCTATTTCTTGGAGTTCCTTTCATAAAATATTATTTTATATGATCCTATATACACATTGCTATTGAGCCTTCGTGTATGTTCTATTTATTGATCATACTGTATTGGGGGCCCTTTGAACATCAATTAGTTGTATCAGGGAGTTTCCTTTTAACATGTTCATTTATGTATATAGTGCATCTTGATCAGAACCACCCTGGCCATAATTATTATCTTGCAATTCATTTTCAAGGCCTTTGAAACTCTGGCTTTTTTTTTTTTTGCTTAAAATAGTGATTTCTCATTTCATTCACTTTCCTAAAAATGACATAATTTTATTTTTCTTTATGATTGAATAATACACCATTGTGTTTATATTCCATGTTTTCTTTATCCATTTACTGGTTAATGGGCATCTGGGCTAGTTTTATAACTATTGTGAACAGTGCTGTTATGAATGTACATGGGTGCGCAGGTTATCTCCATTGTATGCCCAGGGTGGTATATTAAGATCATATGATAGTCCTACTTTTAGTTTTTGAGGAACTTGTATATTGATTTCTATAGTGGCCACCATAATTTATGTAATCAACAATGTATGAGGTTTCCTTTTCCTCCTAATATCTTGCCAGAATTAGTTTTTGCTTGCTTTTCAGATGATAGAAGTTCTGACAGGAAGGAATTGTTTTGATTTTCCTTTTCTTTTTGAATGAGGTTATTGAATTTTTTGCATGTATTTATTAGCTATTTGTACTTCTTTTGAGAACTGTTTAATTCTTATTTTGTCAGTTTATTAATTTGATGTTTGTTCTTTTGGTGTTTGATATTTGGAGCTCTTCATATATTTTGTATACTAATTTTTATCCAAGGTATGTCTGGTAAACATGTTTTCCTATTCCATAAGTTATCTTTAGTTCTGGTAGTTGGGTTCTTTGTTTTCTAGACTTTTTAATTTAATGCAATCCTATTTGTCAATTCTTATTTCCTGAGAATTGGAGTCTAATTCAGAGAGGTATTATTGTATAGCTTTATCTTCAAAGGTTTTTCCTAGGCTTAGTTCTTTAAGTCTCAGAGTTTCATTTTCAAAGATCACATTTTCAATTAATTTTTGTACAAGGTCAGTAGTAAGGCTTTTCTACATGTGGATATCTAGTTTACCCACTATCATTTGTTGAAGTGACTCTTTTCTACTATGTATTTGGGGCCTTTGTAGAAAATCAGATGTCTGTGGTTGTATGGGGTTATTTTGAATCTCCTGTTCTTGCTTATTGTATCTGTATTTTATTGTATTACTATGCTGTTTTATCTACTTTGAGTATGTACCGTAGCTTGAAGTTGGGTATTCTGATACCTTCATCATAGCTTATTTTCCTCTGGGTTGCTTTAGCTATTTTGAGTCTTTTGTACTTCCATAAGAATTTAAAGAGGACTTTTTCTATTACTGTGGAGATTGTATTGCGTCAGTAGATTGTTTTTGGCAATATAGCCATTATCTGAATATTAATTTTGCTAATCCATGAAAACTGGAGGTATTTTCATCTTTTGGTGATCTTTAATTTCCTAAAGATCTTATGCTTTTTATCATTGAGATCTTTCATTTCCAGGAGATTAGGTTTATTTTTAAGTATTTAATCTTTTTATTGCTATTGTGAGTGGGATTATTTTCCTGATTTATCTTAGTCTGTCTGTTTATTACTATCTTTTGGGAAAAAAATGACATGAAAATAAATAGATTTTTGTATATCGATTTCATATTTTGCTACTTGGCCAATATGTTCTTTTATATCTTAGAGTACTTTCATAAAGTCTTTAGGGTGTTTTAAGTATAGGATAATATTATATGCAAATAGGAATATTTGACTACTTCTTCCCTTCCTATTTGTATGCTATTTCTTTCCCTTACCTTATTACTGTCGCTAAGAATTCAAGCATTGCATTAAATAAGAGCAGAGAGAGTAAATAGTATATTCTCGCTCCTTACTTTAGGGGGAATTGATTCAGTTCAGTTCTTTCACATTAAGTATATTGTTTTCATGCTAAGTATAAGGTTTTTATTATGTTGAGGGTACATTCTTTCTATTACTAGTTTGTTCTTGGCTTTATTTATTTTATTTTATTTCTTGGCTTTTACTCTGAGGTGATGTTGACCTTAATTACAAGCTGTTTTTGCATCTATTGAGATGATCCTGTGTTTTTTCCCTTTATTCTGTTTATATACTATAGTAGTACATTTATTCATTTGTATATATGGAATCATAATTGCATGTCTGTAATGAAACAATTTTGTTACACTTTATGATTTCCTTTTAATATATTTTTGAATTTTGTTTGCAAGTATGTTACTTAGAAGTTTTACTTCTCAGTTCATTCATTAACAATAAGCTAGGTGCTGGTTGCCCGTACCTGTAATCCTAACTACTCAAGAGGCTGATATCTGAGGATCATGGTTTGAAGCCAGCCTGGGGAGGAAAGTTTGTGAGACTCTTTTATCTCCAACTAACCACCAAAAAGCTAGAAGTGAAGCTGTGACTCTAGTGGTAGGACATTAGTCTTTAGCAAAGCAGTTTTAGGACAGTTCCTAGGCCCTGAGTTCAAGTCTAAGAGTAGCACCAAAAAAAAAAAAAAAAAAGTGAAAAGGAAGTACACTATCATCATAAAAGTTAATAAAACAGAAGTAGAAAATAGAACCAACATTTCAAAATAAAACAGTACGAATCTCCAATTTTCAAGATTTTAGATGTTGTTATAATTTGTGGAGAGGAAGGGAAAAAACAAATCGTTTAAATAGGGATACAGGTGGACCCATTGCAACAGTGAGATGTTCACAAGTCGTTATTTC